AATTCATAAAATAAAAAAAATAAAATAAAATAAAAACTTTGATGCTACATTTGAGACTATCAAATCAACGGCTTTTAACAAATATCATATCATTGATCATTTTTTATTTTTATTTTTATTTTTTAAAATTCAAAGCATCGATTTAGTGTTCCTAAACACAAATTGATTGATCTAAGACTAATTTTGTGTGATTACATGAATTTGACCTTTACATTAAATTTAGTTGTACCTCTTTTATTATCTGATCTTTGTACATGTCACTCTTCAAAACAACGTACTACACAAGCTCAACTAATATTTGAATTTTTATGCATTACCTAAAAAAGAAAAAAAAAAAAATGGCTGGTTTTGACAAACCATATATGGTTAACATTTTATTTCAATTTATTCGGATCACAAATTTAGCCTCGGCTCTATAACCTTTACACGTGTTAAGCTAGGGTTAGGTTGTTAATTAAATAGATCAAAGAATTTGAAAATTCTTGGAGTCAAAATCCAACTTGATTGCGATATTATAACCCAAGTGCTCAGAATGTGTGGTCAGTGGTGGGGAGCCATTTTTTAGATTATTTATATGTTATATATATTAAGAATTATAAAGTTAGGGTTTTAGTGAAAAGTATGTGGACTACCACTCGTTAATGTGTATTGTTGTGATCCTTTAATCTAAAAAATCTGTAAACATCTATGGTGATGTTGAGAGGGAACTGACTTAATAGTACTTAACTGGGTTATGTATGTATGGATATGAAGTTTATTGAATTTAATGTTGATCCCAAAAAAGCCATAACATATATAAAAAAATTATTGGAAAACATAAGGTGCTGATTTAATCAAACTTATCAGCTTATGGTTGTCTACTAACTGAATATGTATGAAATTACTAATTATAAACTTTCTAGAGACAAAACTAGATTCTACTTCAAAATTTAATCATTATGATTTTCATCATATTAAGAAGTCAAAATCCACAGTTGAAAGTGAAGTATTTGATTGTAGAAAGAAAAATATAATAATATTGTAGGTTTAAGTGTGAATATATATATATATTTAAGTGTGAATATATATATATATATATATATATATATATATATATATACTAGTATACCGAATGTGGAAATATTTTGTTAAAAAAAAAAATTCCTACATTATGCAATTGTTAAAATTATAGAATCAAATGTGTGCAATTTTAGGTGCACACAATACTATTATCTTATTTAAAATCCATAAATGTTAAGACTAAAATTCCTGACCACCCGATAAATCAGTGGTACCTGAGTCTTTATCTTCACTGACGAAGGAGGATCACCTGATGAATCAGTGGGACACAAGTCTCTATCTGTATCCACATCAAGAATGGACAATATCCCATATTATAAGATTGGTTTCGTGTGATTTGTTCCACCCAGTAATGTCCGGTTTAAGGTTTTTGCTTAGGCAATTAAGGTAAAACGTCATCTTCACTTTATATGTACATATTTAATTGGTGGTGGGAAATAAAACCCTCCAATGGACATATTTTAAATGGCAGTGGGAAAGCAACCCCCTTCCTAATAAGTCCATATTGTGAAATTACTATTATATATGACAAGTCATAGTCTTTGCCATACTCAAGTGGGACACAATTCCATGACTAAAAACTTTATAAACAAGATTCATGTACTTATTATAGTGTTCTCTATATATGATTTGTATCTCTATCAACCATTTATCAAAATATCAAATTCAATTTTGATGTAATATTATGTGGTGCCAAGCCAATCAATAGTTTTGTAACCTTTTCATGAGACATGCCTATCTATGGGCTCTTCAAAGTCATGCCCAAACCCAAAATTTATTGCTGATTTTATTATTAATTTTTTTTTTTTATTGAAAGAAAATTCAGGATATATTTCAGAAAAAAAGGAATTAACCATTAACAAATACTTAATAGCTATATGCATGAATTTCTTTATTTTGTAATTAGAAATCTAAAAAATCATAAAAACAGAAGAAAAAAATGAATAAAATTATTGAAATGTATTTTTATAATTAATGGGTGGTGGCAGTGTGGCAGGTGGAGTTTTTTACTCTCCGATTCAGTTTAAACTCAAGCTTTTCTATTTTTAATTATTTATAGAAACGTGATAGCACAGGTAATGTTTGATTTTTAATATGCACCATCATTATGAAGCACTTTCTGTCTAATGTCAAACAAAGAAAAGAACAACATTATGATGCGCACCATAGCAATATAACATTGGGCCTAACTCAGAGTGGAATATTCTTAACCCTAGATTCTAACTTTGTTTAGTTTAACCAAGAAGATTCTATCACTCCACCGTGGATTAAACAATCAATATATTGGGAATCTACAAAGACTTGACCGACCCCCTTTTGTCGAGCATAGAGACATGCTTTCTCTTTTCTATATAAACAAAAGACAACGTAAAGACATGGGGGTGTGTTTAAGTATGATTGTTTATAATGCTCCTTATTTAGGCAAAATTAAAAGTCATAATTAGGTGAGATAATAAGATTAAACAAAAATGGTTTTAAATTTTGAATATATTTAGGCTCGTGTGAGATTGCTTTTGTAGCATCTAAAATTTCTTCCAATTTTAAAAAGTGAGTTTAGAGGTGTTTGGTGATGAAAAAAATGGTGTTTTTAAAGAGTAGAGATTTAATTTAAAATTTTCTTTTTGATGAAATTAAAAATTGTAACATTTTAAATTGCCTCCTGGGGTAGAGGGAGATATCTATTTTTTTTTTTTATATTTTATGAAATAACTAAATGCATGCGTTCTTTGACGCATGCTTCCTTGAATGCATATACCAAATCAGTAAATGTAAATTAAATTAGGATATCATACACATACTCAATATAATTAAGTTAAACATACTTGCAAAAGTTTAAACTGAATAAATTCAATTACCTGTGGCTGTTTTGCTCTTCAACATACGTCTGCTTTGATTTGTTTTTCCTCTTCACATCTGCTTAGATCTGCAACATCAAGAAAATAAACAACAGAATATTGCTTTGATTTTTCACTCTCCCCACTTTTGTTGAGATGTCTATTCAATGGAACTAGACTAAACCCAATTAAATGCATGTGTAAAAGTGGAGACTAAGGCTGTATATATAGATATTATTATCAAGGAGTCAATAAGTTACCCCTATTATGTGTAATTCGTGTCATGATAGGTAATTATATATACTTTTTATTCATATCTGAAGACACAAAACTAAGGTACATCATAACCCAAAACTTTATAAATATCACATGTGACTAAGGTACATCTATATAAATAATGTAATAAAAGTATTTAAAACAATATTGTTTATCAAACAAATTTAAAATTATTTAGTAAAAATAAAGTATAAAGAAATTTAAACATAGAAGTATAAAAAAAAGTTTATATAACATATTATTTTTTTATTGATATAATTTGATGACAGCTTTACTAATAAAAGGATTTATACCATTACACCACTAATGTCAATTGCCAAAAAATAGAAGAAATTTCCATCATTCAGTCATTATTCGGAATAAAAAGAAAAGAGGGAGGAAATATAGAAAGAATAAAGCATCCCTCTTGCATGAATGGCCTATACTTTTTCATGCGTTCAAAATTAAGTGGAAGGTATAGGGGAATGAAATAAAAACTGCTTCATAATATCATTTTTATCCTACAATTATTTACAAAATTATTGTATTAAATCACACTTTATTTATTTATATAATAAGATTGTATGAGTAAAAATATATAAATATATATAACCTTTTCGTTACCTTCCTTTCAACTAAATAAAGAAAGTGTTAGATTGAAAAAATAAAAATTGAAAATACAATGACAATCATTTATTTTCCATGAATGCCACCCAAAAAAAAGAGGCCTATGTTACACCTACATGGTAAAATGATGTGAGAGGCACTAATGACAGGAGTTTAATTGTAAAAAAGTGAGAAGTAGGTGAGAGAATAAGATTAAACAACCGAAAAACAATCGTATTGTAGAGAGAGAACCTTTCTTGAACTGTCCGTCAAGAAAAGCACGTGGGGGGACCATCAAGAAAATAGGACACGTGATGGCGGCTGCAAAGCTTGGGGGACGAGTCACGTGATATGTACCCTAATTTCTCGCGGCACGAGTTTGTTTCAAGTTCCAGTTTCTCTCTAAATGATATAATGGAGTTTGAGTAAGTCAGTCACACCGACATTTATACTTTAGTAATAACTACCAGTAATTTTATGCCATCTCAATACCACATGACATTTAGAAAAATAAAAAAAATAAAAAAAATACCACATGACATAGAGAGAGTTCGGTCGCAGACTTATAAAAAATTATTGTTGAAATTATAGCGGGCCATTTGTCAATTGGGACATGCAAATAAATGAGTTTTTTTTTTTTTTTTTTTTTTTTTTACCTAGTAAAAAAACAAAGGTTAATTTCTTTATTAATTTTATTATTTAGTGGTCAATTAATTATTGGGCGAGTCAAATACTCTCAAGTAATAATTTTTTTTTTTTTTTTTTGTATATTATTTAGGTGTCAATTAGTTATTCGGCGAGTCAAGTACTCAAAAGTAAAAATTTCTCTCCATATTATTTAGTAAATGAATACTCACTTTTCTTATTATTATTTTAAGAATAGAAAATAATAATTCAACATCATTCATTGTAGTAGGGTTCTGTTTGTTTTGATATAAAATATTTTTGAAAAAATATTTTTTATTTTTAATATTTTTAAAAATAATAATTAAAATTTAACAAAAAATTAAAAAAACAAATAAAATTATTAAATGGTACTTAGAGTTATTGTCCTTGGTGTGAAAAATTATTAAATAGTCCTCTTTTATTATAATTGTCCTTGGACCCTAATTAAAAAAAAAAGTTCCCTCTTTATCTTTTAATCAGACACGAGAGAAAGCTGTGCTCCTAGTTCTACACAGCTCACTGAGAACACCAATATCTCGTGTGTCGAACTGTTAAAGGCACACAGTAGATAACGAAACAGCACCTAAGCACCAGTTAATCACAAGAATTAGCAGAGAAACGCAGATCACCCCCTTGTCTCTCTCTCTAATCTCTATATGTGTGTGTCTGTATATATACATATATATGTCTTTTCTATACACACATGTCCGGTCAATGAAAAACAGTTGAATTTCTGTATTGAGTATGTAAAGGAGACACAGGAAAATAAGAGAAACCCAATTTCTCTCTCTATATTTCGACCACCTATGCTTCGTCTTAGTTTGTACAGAGAGAACAGGCAGAGAAAAACATTCTAGACGGAAAAATATAGAGAGAGAGAGAGAGTGAGAGCAAAGAGCAGTTGAATCTTTGTCTTTGAAAATTTCAGGGCAACAACACCACCAACCACAAGAAGAAGAAGAGATCGATGGGAATTCTAATAGACGACGTAGTGATAATCAGACAGTCTGAAAGAGAAGGAGAGCCAAGTGTGATTACTGTCAATTGCCCTGATAAGACTGGCCTCGGTTGTGATCTTTGCCGTCTCATCCTTTTCTTTGGTTTGAGCATTGCCAGAGTTGGTATGTCCATTTCTCTCTCTCTCTCTCTATATATATTATTTGTTAATTTCTCTCATCTTTCTTTAAAATTTTGTGAACCCAGTTAATTGGATTTTGTGATTTGTTTCTTCGATTTGTTGGGTATTTGGGATTCTTGTGAATGTTCATTTGTTGGATGTTAAAAGACATGAGAAATGGTGCTACACAGCTCTCTCTCTCTCTAGAACTTTTGTGGAACAAGTGATGCGTGTTCAAGATGAGTTAATCTGTATATATATTGTGTTGTATAGATGTGTCTACCGATGGGAAATGGTGCTACATAGTGTTCTGGGTGGTTGGGAAGCCGAGTACAAGATGGGGTTTATTGAAGAAGAGACTCTTAGGGGTATGCCCTTCTTGTTCTTCAGCTTCTGGGATCTCTTTTTACCGATCCGAATTGCAGCCGCCCAAGCCTCCTGATGTGTTCCTCTTGAAGTTATGTTGCCATGACCGAAGAGGCCTATTACATGGTAATTTAACCTATCCATATTTTTAACCTTGATACTTCTGTTTGCCTATTTCTTGTGAAAATTGTCTCTTGGGTTTGATTTGAATTTGTTTTGTTCGAGACTCATTTTTCACATATAGGCTATATGTTTCAATTATTGAATTTTGATTTTATATCTTTTTTCTCAGTATGCTAGGTTTTGAATATAAGCATCTCTTCTTGTTTTAAGTTTAAGTGTGGCAATTTCATTGTTCTTTATTTTCCATACCTTCTGTTGGGTTGCATATGAACAATAGGGAAAATAAAAGAAAACTTAAGCCTATAAACAAAATTTTGGAGCAGAATGAATTACATGATTTTTATTTTATATATAGCTATTTTGGGTCTGAATTCATCTGATTCACCCTTGTTCTTCTGTGTCATTTGTTTGCTACCTGCGCATTTAGATTCTAGGACGATATCAATGATTTATTCGTCATTGAGTTTTGGAGAAAATTTTGGGCAGATGTGACGGAGGTGCTATACGAGCTTGAGCTCACTATAAAGAGAGTGAAGGTATCCACCACCCCAGATGGGAAAGTGATCGACCTGTTCTTCATCACAGATACCAGGTTTTAAATTCTTGACAGAGTCTCCACTGAAATAATATAAATAATTTTCTGTTCTTTCTATTTTTATTATTATTATTATTATTATTGAAGTTTATACTCTTCTTTCTTGAGTAAGTGAGTGTAGAAATTCTTAATTATTCAAGTGACATTGATGCTATATACTGTGTTCACTGAGTGGAAATGATTTGATTATGTGGACATCACTGAAACAGGAAACCTAGTAATTATTATATTTTATGGGAACAAGTTTGACCCGCATCATTTTGAAGCAAACACTTTGCCTGCTTATCCTTCTTTTAAAAAATGGAATGAGGGATGAGATATGTAGCGGCTGACTTGGCCTGTCCAATCAGTTGACCACCTCCAGACTTTAACAGTTGCACTCTCATACTAATTTGTGATTACCACAAATCTGCACTTCATTTAGAAAAGTCAAAGACTATTACAATAATATTGTATATGAAATTTTGGTTACTTAGCAACTAAAATTGTGCAATAAGTAGATTTTGAATTGTGGTCATGTAAGCAGAACCCAGTGGATGGATAATGGGTAAAAGGAATTTTTGATATTCAAAGGACTGCAGGTGCATATTTTCATTTTCATTTTCATTTTATTTATTTATTTTTTAGGGTGGGTACATCATGAATTCAATCTGAATTGTATTCCTCATAAAATGAACAACTTTTCTCAGTGATATGCAATTCAGGTTTTTGTAAAAGGACTATTAAATCTTAGTAGTTATCCAAGTTATCGCATTTTTTGTGGATGGATGTGAGTAAATTGAGGGGAATGTTCCCTCTCTTAAGCATTCTTGAGTTTATCTTGTTCTTTACGCTCCTGAACTTATTGTAATTTCAATGTCATCTTATCACCAGGGAACTTCTACATACAAGAAAGAGGCAGGAGGATACTTATGACCATTTAAAATCTGTTATGGGGGATGCCATGATAAGTTGTGACATAGAAATGGTTGGTCCTGAAATTACTGCATGTTCACAAGGGCTTTCTTTTCTTCCTCCTGCAATCACAGAAGACAAGTTTAACTTAGAGATGCTTGATGAACGGCAAAGTGAAAGGCTCACCTTCAACAGTGTATCTATCACAATGGATAACTCACTCAGTCCCGCTCACACGCTTGTCCAAATTGTTTGTCAAGATCACAAAGGTCTCCTTTACGATATAATGAGAACTTTAAAAGATTACAATATCCAGGTAGATACTTCTGATATTATAATTTGATATAAATAATGAAAATACCCTATAATGTTTCCAAGTTTAGTAGGATAAATACATTCAATATTTCTTGTACACTTTGAATAATTTTTACTCCATCAAGTTCTATCTACAGTAATTTGCAATTTTTAATGCATTAAACACATAGTAAAAGTGTACAGAGTGGTAAGGGGTCACGTTCTTCCTATTCAATACTCCATTTCTACGTTTGCTTTGCTTACAATTTGTGCATCCATATCAAAGACCATATAGCCCAATCTTATCCAATGGTGCATGACATAACTGCACTTGCATACCTAGCATCCTTGTAGCCTTACAATTTTGAATCCTTCTTTACTTTCTTATATATTTCATATTTCCAGACATCCTTTGGTTCTTAAACTGGAACCGAAATTTTAATTTTTTGTTATTTGATAATGATTAATGTATACCAGATATCTTATGGGCGCTTCACGTCGAAAGAGAGAGGTAATTGTGAGGTGGACTTGTTCATTATGCAAGCAGATGGGAGGAAGATTGTTGACTCTAGCAAGCAGGCTGCATTACGCTCTCGTCTTCAAATGGAACTAATCCGTCCCTTAAGAGTAGCTTTGGAGAGCCGGGGACCTGATATAGAACTGCTGGTAGCCAACCCTGTGGAGTTATCTGGCAAGGGTCGACCTCTCGTTTTTTATGATATCACCCTTGCGCTCAAGATTCTCAACACTAGCATCTTTTCGGTACTTCCTTATCTGCATACTATAGTAGTCAAAATCAGTACTTCTCCATCTGCATAATATAGTAGCTCAGAATGGGATTGGTACTTATTACTTGAAAAATCGGGATTCTCTATTTATTTACTTTAAAGGCCAATTTAAAAATTAATGCATTATAACAGTTCATTGTTGGAATTTTTAGCCTTGCCATGCATCATTGGCCAAGATGCTCCTTTGATTGCGTACTTAGGCTTTATTAGATTGGAAGTTGATGCCATAATTCCAGGAATTGGGTGGCTTGGAACTGCAACAATGCATTATCCTTGTCTTCCCACCTATATTCCATGGTGCGTTGAACTTAAAATGGCCCTGTTTCCAACCATCCTTTTCATGACCACAAATTTATTTTGGTTGTGTATGAAATGGTTTTGAACAATTTATTCTAAAATTTTTCCCTCAATCGGTTCCTTAAGAATAAACAATTATTGTAGTCAGTACTTTTTTCCCTTTCTCAGCCCTTATTCCCCCGTAAGTTGATCTGATTGCTTTTCCAGGCTGAGATTGGGAGGCACATGATTGGAGATCGGGAATGGGAAGTTTACAGAGTTTTACTTGATGAGGGAGATGGCTTGTCTATGCCAAGGAACATGATTGCGGAAGCAGTTTGGAAGATGTTAATGGGTTGGGAATAATGATGTATCAAGATATTATTCCTCCAGGATTGCAAAGGCTCCTTCAACCTCTGTATAGTATACCTTTTCCCAGTTATATTTACTGGGTGTAAATATGGACATATATTATGAGAAGGTTGAGCTGTACCAAATTTTAATTTGCTACTTCTGTAAGACTAATTCTGTAGTATGAAAATGAGATAGATAGTGGATAGAAGGGGTGTGTAGCCCTCCTGGCATTGTAATATTGTATATATAAAAGCTGCAGTTAGAGGGAATTATGGTGCCATTACACAAATGCTTCAATATATCTGAAATGCTTTGATGGGTTGTTTTGGATTAAACCATGCTGTCCAACAATACTCGTTTTCTTTTTTAAAATGAATTCTGTTTGTATAACATTTTGTATACAAGAGGATGACAGATTTTTGGTTCAAAATTCACAGGGACATCCTAAGTGTGAGCTGTCCGAAAGATCTCTATGTAGAACTATTATGTGAATTATACTACAGTTTTCTTGCATCTCTGTGATTTTGTTATTTGGATCAACTATCTTGTATATACACTATTAGTTGTTCCTTATTTTGATCATGAATCGCATCTTTTGTCCCTCTTAGAGCACCCCATAATCCACTGCCGGGCACTTGCAATTCCCCTGTTCCACATATACCAGAAAAATTCTCTGGGGTTGGCCCTAATAGTATTCGAACTTCCGGCCTTGAAGAGGTGAGATGAGATCTTCAGGATATTGAATCCTTCCCATAAGTAAGTATTACTTTTTTCTATCTTTGACAGGTTGACAGGTATGTCTTTCTCCAAATTGTCCTTCTCAAAGTTAAGTTGCAAGATCTTTTTAACCCACCTTGGTGGGCAAGATTCCTTAATACATTTGATGGATAGTTTTCTTGACAGAATATGTCTCTTAAACAATTGCTCTAGGTCTTTCTTAATATTCATCCAAGTTGAATAATCTGTCTTAGGTTGTGCTTTCATATATTTTTTCATTTTGGAGCTGACAAAGACTTAGTTATAGTAAAAAGGAAACATATATATTTACCCCTTACCATTTGGGGTTCTTAATAGACATGATTAGACGACGCTATACGAAAATATCTATAGTCACTTCAAAGGCATCTATATGCTTAATAAACTGTCTACTTATATTTTGTATCTAAATGTCATTGTCATTTTCACACGAAGATATTTTGGTTGTATTTATCTTTTTTATAACAGAGTTGTCTTTGAAGGAGTCAATACTAAATTGAATTTATGTGGAGCCCCAACTTTGAGTTCCATATAGTTTGTAGATATTTGGTAAAAAATCGTTTTTATGATTAAAATTACCTGTGCTCATATTATTTATGTACTTTCACTGAATGACCTGTGCAATGCTATTAACTTCTGACTTCTTATTGTTCATGTACCATCAGTATGCCAATGTCCCTTGTTGCTCTTTGCAAGTTCTGGATATATATATATATATATGATGTGAAGTTCCATGTTGCCTAGAACGGAGGTTGTTAGCACTTATATGCATGAAAACTCCTTAATTGTGTAGACGCATTTTGAAGAAAGGCTCGAGCACGAGAAGAGAGCGTACAAAATGGACAATGTATACACGGTGTGAGTGAGTCGTGACATATTAATCCAATTATTTAAGTTACTTTCTTCGACAAAGGTATTCGATTGTTTTTTCGTGCTCGTTTTGTTACATGGACTCAAAGGTGACAGCATAGGGATGATTAATGAGATGGAAAAGAGTTGCGTGTGGAAACCTTGTTCCATTTGTTCCACAAATAAATTTGTATGAGATTAAACTTTCTTGATGTGTGCAATTTAATCAGTAATTTGTGGTTAAAGCAGATGTCATTATCTTTACATTTCAAATACCAGTAGTTTTTTACATTTTGCTATCTGGACACCTGAACTCTATATCATATTACTGGTGAAAGCAACCCTTTATTTCCTGTACAAATAAACACCCACTGTCGTTTTCCTTACCATTAGAGTGAAACTTCTCTTTCACCTTTTACTAAAGAATACCTTGTGCTCTTTGTTGCATCATTCCCAGCATTAGATTGAAAAGGTGGGCTGAAAAAGATTGACTACATGAATGTCTGAGACTAACTAGGAATTAGATCATATTTATTATCCTTCTTTTGTTGAAGAAAGGACTGCTTATACATTTGAAATTTTGAATCAAGCTCCTAAAACTTCGCAGCAGAACACGATTGATATAGAACCTTTTTAGAGGTTCTACATTTCTTGCTTTTTCTTGTGCTTTCTTTGGTCTAGGGTACAGCGGAAAGTGAAAAACATGTTCTATCTTCAACTTGAAGTTCACTTGGAATTTTGCAGTAGATCGATACTATAATTTAATGGAAGGGTTTTTTTTATTAATTTATTATTTATTTTTTATTTTTTTCTATTTGCATGGTTCCATAATTTGTATGCATAAACCTTTGTCCACTACGACAAGAATACCATACGCTATATATATTATTTAATAGAAGAGTTTAAAGGGTTGAAGAATTCTGACTTCTAATGAATTCAAGTTAGCAATAAAAGAGCGGGTTGGCCTGTGGGAGATTATTTTCAAAGTGTCAACAAATTTGTCTAGGTACATTTTTTTTTGGGTGGGCCATTAACCTTAAAAATTCATGTCATAAGAGAATTTATGTGCCAATATTATAGACTACGTCACCCGTCTATTGCAATGATTAAAGCATCCACACTACCTAATCCTAATCCTCTCATTCCGTCCGCAATGTTCTCGAGTGTCACTGTTAAATCTAAAGCACAATAGATTATTACATCACAATACAACATGACTTGACATGGGTGCTGTAACGGAGAAATAACACCATTATCATACCTTTATATAGAAATGCAACATTCATGCAATTTATTATTTTGTGTTATAATACAACATCGAGACGAATCTGGACAATAAGGTGGGAAGAATAATAAAATCTTTTAATAATTTCAAGGAGATAATAGTAATATTTTAAAAATATATAGCTGAAAAAGAACAAATTAGTAGGATATATTAATTAAAAAAAAAAAAAAAATTCATGGAGCCATGTCAATGTAGGTCGGTCCCTGAACATCATAAGATAACTGTTTGTTGTACTAAATAAACTCAAATTAGATTTGTTTCTTATATTAAATATGAAGAAAATTATTGTTGTAATAAGGAGAGCAATTAGTTATGAACCGGAACAAGATTACCCAACAATAAGTAAGGTAGTTGGAATGCACTTTTCAAAATTGTACGGTATAATTTATACCCTCAACTAACCTTAATTAAGAAAAATGATCAACTTGACGAATGCCAAGTCAAGTCATGCATCCATTGATAGACCGCAGACCAAGTATTATGGAGTTCGCTTTGTCACGTCTTGTGGTACGTTGTCTCTATTACTTTGACTTATAATTATTCCACCATAAAAATAAAAAAAATAAAAATTGACATAGTTCAATCCATTCAAAAGTACTGTAGGAATTTGTTCTACAAATATTAAACAAATTAACTACAACTAATATATAGTGCATGTGTATATTGTAAACTATAATTATTCATGTCAAGCATTAATCACAAATTTACATGAATCTTATATCTTATAACTTCATAATTTTCACATATTTATAATGCATAAATAAATAATTAGATATAAATATCTTGATCTGTAATTGTAAAACTCGAAGAGATCAAGACAAACGTCGATATCCTTTATGCGGAACGAACAACATACTAAACTGTAATAGTCAAAACGTGGAGACGGATTTATCTCCCTTGGCCTTTTACACACATAAATATTATACATGTTGTTTTCATTAGCGTACATAATTGATGTGAATATGCACTTTTATAAAGGCAGAGAGAGGACCAGTTTCCTTTTAGTAACTATAATTCCACTATCCATCAAAGTAAAGAATAAATAGGAAAACACTTCTCCAATAATTAATTACCAAAAATGTAATTTATAAGTTGACCAAATAATATAATGTTAATCTGATATGTATTTTATTTAACCACCAAATAATAGAAGTAAATCATGTGTCCAAATCATGTAGATCACAAATATAAGAAAATATCTTACAGTCTCCCACTTGGCTCATATGATAACCTCTGTAGTGCTTTAGTAAAATATTTATTAGTTGTAATACCCCTAACTTTTGAAAGGATAGTCTCGGTAATTTGTTTAATTGTTTTCTGTTTATTAATTATTTTTGGTTCATTAATTTGTTTACTTGTTTTCTGTTCAGTGTTATTTGACATTAATTTGTTTAATTGTTTTCTGTTCAGTGTTATTTGAATTAATTCGTTAGTTTATTTGTTTTCTTTGGGTTAATTAATTATTTGCATTCTTTACATTAATTGGAATTTTTATTTGTTTCTTTAATTGAATTAGTAGTTAACTTGGAATTTTTATTGTTAAATTAGTAATTACATGTTTTAATTTGTGACTAGGTAAAAAAAAAAGTGTGGTTAGGGTTTTAGTTCTGTTTAGGTTTAGGGTTATTTAAGGAGCCGACGGTTGAGTTTATGGGCCTCGTTTCAGACTTTAGGTATAATTGGACTTAGGGTTTTGGTTGCCTATAAATATATAAGATAAGTCTGCTTAGGGAACAGAATAATACAACCAAAACACGTCTGTGGAATTAGAAACGAGGAACAGAGGAAGTTGCAGTGGGAGTCGCCGGAGATTGTAGAAGACAACGTAGAGATTTTAACAAAATCTCAAAAGGCAAGTTCTAACCTTACTCTCTCCCTTATACTCGTGTTCTTTGCATACTCAATGGTTCCAGGATGAATTACAGGTTTAAAAATAAAAGACGTTGTCTGTGTCATGCTTAGAGTGTAACTGAAACTGAGTTTGGTTTAAAACTTGTAAACTGTTTAACTTTGAACTGTCTTATTTAATTCTTGGTTTAATCCATATTAGTAGCATAATAAGGACTGAGTTAAGGACTGGAATCTTCTAGGATTAATTGAAACTCTCTGAAACCTTCTACTGTGAAGTGTCGGAGGCGTAAACGGCGACCGGAGAGGAGAACACGAAGAAGAGGAGGGAGAGAGCCGGCTCCTATTGGATTGGAGCCGGCTCCCCTTGGACTGGAGGCGGCTCCAATGGTCTAGGAGCCGGCTCCAGGGCCATTAGAGGCGGCTCCAATATTCTGGAGCCGGCTCCCGGTTGTTTATGCGTGAGTTTTGATTCTGTGGGTTGTTTTTCCAAATTTTTTCAGTGATTAGGCTTCCTAGTGATTGTTTTAA